GCAAGTGCCTGCAACTTGGCATACTCCGCTTCCAAAGGCAGTGAATCATTTCCTCCAGTTAACAAAAATGGGAGAAAGCTGCTTAGGATTGTTGTGTAAATTTAGATCAGATTATTCAGTTTAAAAAAAATATGTATATAAAAAGAAGTTGTTGTGGTTCCAGAAGCCGGCAAGTGCTTGAAGGATTTACAGAAGAGGCTCCGGCGTGAGGCGTCCAGGGCGCAGAGTGCTATACACAGTGTATGAGCTCCCCCACTTGGCACAGTCAGGCAAACGAGAGACATGAACTTCATCTTCTTGCCTATTGTCATTCTGTAACCTGAAATCACGTTCCCTATTACCACTGCGCAACTACCCCATCATCAATAAATAAACAAAAAACATCTGTGCCAGTGATGATACAAAAAGGTGAAAGAGAGCAACAAAGCACTCAAATTCTATCTGATATAATGCAAACTATTTATGCAATAGTCAATATATAAACAGTGAAATATACAACATTGATTATAGGCTGAACTCAAACCACAATACATACACCGTGAGATAAAGACCAAAACTAATCAAACGAACACGCTCACTTCCCGATCTATTGAGCCGACCTGTGACAGTTTCATTGTCACAGGTCGGCTAGAACTAAGAGGTGAGTGATTTTCACTTGTCTCATAGTTCTCCTTTAACAAAACTGTATCGTATTTGTGTATCACTCAGCTGTAGATCCTCAAATCATCTCTGAATTTGTATTGACAGTCTTCCTTCTGGAGGGTGGCTACTTTTGTTCCCCATGGTCCCTGTGTGTGTTGTAAAGTAGCCACCACTTCAAGCTCGCTCCTGTGATGGACTATAATATCAATACAAATGAGTAAACTAAATGTGAGATTTTAGTTGAGCTTGGAGCGATGGCTACTTTACAACACACACAGGAACCATGAGGAACAAAAGTAGCCACCCTCCAGAAGGAAGGACCGTGTCAATATGAATTCAGAGATGATTTGAGGATCTACAGCCGAGTGATACACAAAAAAGATACATTTATACATGCTTGCTTTTCCATGTTTTTGCTTTTGTATTAAATACAGTAATATTCAGATAAGCCACTAGAGGGAGCTCTATATTTAACTCAGGCTTAATGGAGAACTATGAGGCGAGTGAAAATCAGACAATGAAACTGTCACACGTTGGCTCAATAGATTGGGAAGTGAGCGAACACACCGTCACTCACTCACTTTTCGATCCTGTCCCTGCAGAGAGCCGTGACTGTCACTCACGGCTCCCTGCAGGGATCCCCCCCCATCCCCGCTTCGATCCTCCATCGCTGACTGGCGGAACGGACGGGGAGGGGGCGGGTACAGCTGGCTCTGCCTCTAGATAGGCAAAGCCAGCTGTCAATCACGCAGTTGGGTGGATCTCGACAGTAATGTTGGGATCCGTCCTGGCTGTGGCGGTCTCAGCTTGCGGTATACTGAGCTTTGGGTCACGGGGAGGGCACTAGTTTGTGTCCTCCAGTGACCCTCTGGAGAACTATGGGGAAAAGCACTGACCCCATAGTTCTCCTTTAACTAGCCTATCTGCTTACAATCTGTTTAGATGAGATATTAACCACACTGGGAGTGCATTGATTTTAATAAGCTGGCCGTCTTCTTGACTTGCATTATAAGAAGGAGAAACAAACCACAACCATTGTGCGACATTGCAAAACATATGCAACAAGTGAATATGGCCATGGAGGGGCAGAACCACTTGTCATACATGACGGAGGGTACCAACCCACCACTGGCATAGAAAGGTGCAGAACAGCCCCCCAATTGGGTCTCCATTAGCACTCAAAAGGAGATTTTTGAACAAGCTAGAAAAGTTATATAATTTTCATTTGCTGAAAGCTCCGACCCCCGCCTTCCCCTCCCCATTCCAGTTGAAAACTGGAATTTACTGTATATGATTACCATTTGGTGGAAAATTGCCTTTACCTACGACAGTGTGTAATATGGGTAATCTTGAACAATCATGTTTTTTTAAATCTCTTTCTATTTTTGCACTTATAGGGCAATGTCACTAATAAAAACACTAGTCAACCCTCCTCATCCTTTAACCTTAACTAACATAGAAACCATCAACTTATCTGCTTGCTTATGTCACCATGACAGTTGGGTCCTCCTCCAGGGCCTACTTCTTCAGTCTGAAATCCTTTTTGGTTCTGGCATTCTGGCCATGCCTGCACAATCCCTGTGGGTTAGCTCAGGATAGGGGTTAGGATGGGTGGGCTGGAGTTCCTTACTGAATTAAATTGTACTTTATTGTCATCAAGGAGCATTAACCCACAATCTGCTGCTACAGCATCCAGCAGTCACTGTAGGGACTTTCATTCACATCTCTGCCATATTTAAAGGTTCCCAGCGAGCACTGATCAGCAACTAATAAATATTTCTTGAATCTATTCTGCTGATATTTGGCTTAGTTTTTGCTCCATGCTTTTCTGCTTAGAAATGAAGTCGCCATGATGAAGGCTGCTGTCTTTCAAGGGCACCACAATCCTCATGGACTCTTTTGTTTCTCATGCCATGTGGGCATTTGGCACCCACATTATTTGTCATATCTAGCCATCACCATGGATAGTCCAAGCCATCTGCTGCCAAGAAGCAGAAGTGATGGAAAGCCTGCTCTGCCCATGTATGGCAATCGTTAAGAGTTTGAATCAAAGTATTAATGTGTCTCAAATTGTACCAAACCTGCCAGCATGAGTCTTTTTTTCCCTAGTGTTTGTGAGGAAAATCTGCCTTCTAGTTACAACAAAATTGATTATGTGCACTGCAGAAAGAGAGCAAATAATGATTATAATTAGCAAAGGCCATTGCTTTTTTTTTTTTGTCTCCTGCTATGCCACATGCCAGGTATCTTTCCTAAAGAGACTCTGTCAAAGGGAAATAAATGAACTATAGCGGGGGAAAAAAGACAAAAGCTGCTGCTGGTATAAAGTGCGGACACTTAGAGGTGCTAGAGGTGCACATACCTGCATCAGCCTCTCGCTTTTTCATCATGCAAAAATCCCAGGCCATTCTGAAAAATAAATCTCATATTGCAGAAACTTGCCTAATTATATCCCTAATAGGAAGCCCAATGGCTAACTGAAGGCAGACAACGCTCCTGCTATTTGAAGGGCAATGGATTCCCCCCGCTCCGATCCGCCAAAGCTGACTGGCGGAACGGACAGGGGAGGGGGCGGGTACAGCTGGCTCTGCCTCTAGATAGGCAGAGCCAGCTGTCACTCACGCAGCTGGGCAGATCCAGACATAATTGTTGGGAATTGGGATCAGTTCTGGCTGCGGCGTCTCAGTATACCGCGAGCTACAGCTCGCGGTATACTGAGCCTAGGGTGACAGGAGGACGCTAGTTTGTGTCCTCCCGTTACCCTAAGGAGAACTATGGGGAAAAGCCTAAACCCCATAGTTCTCCTTTAAGAAAAAAGTAAAACATACAAAAACATACTGAAAAATAGATTTAGGCTCCTTTCACATGGGCACCAATCTGCTCCGATCCTCTGCAATACAGAAAGGATGCCACTTTTGTGACATCCGTATCCATTTACTTTTTTCTTCCATCTTGCTATGGAGGAAAAAACTGAACTGAACAGACCCATGTTAGGTATATGGCAGCCAAATGTAAACGGACATGTGTCTGATTACCTCCGATCAGTCACGTTTATGTCCAAAAAAAGATGCAAACCTTCACTGGTTTGCTTTTTTTTGTTTGTTTTTCAGTACAGAACTGATTTGGGAGCAAATGAGAGGTAAACCGACTCATGACCCTATAGTTACATTGCGCTTCTTATCAGATCCGCCACGTGGAAGGGACCCGTAGGGTTTACATACAATCTGGTGGATTATGGTCAGTTTGAAACCACTTCAGTTATTTTGTAATCAGCCAGTTTAACATGAATCTCTCCCAGATTCTCATTTTGTATATGAAGTAATGTTAAATCCATTAACATTACTGATCATCCTGTCTTACTAATGACTCCAACAAAAGGATGCATCAGTGATCCTGAGAGCACAAAGCTGCACATTAAAGCTATGTAATTTACAGAATTGTACCTTTCCATTATTCTGACGTATTACACGCTCTCACTTCTCTAAATCTCTCTTATTATTATACACAAATGACAGCCCCTTTCCATACCCCACTTCTCGCCCCATCCTGTCCTACCACTTAAACCTCGTCCCCACCCCCACTGACCATGAGTTACATCATGGTAAAATTTGTATTTACATTACTGATCCCTTTAATCCTGTTTGCAATAAAATTCTAAAGTCTGGTTAATGTTATCCTTAATAACTCCCCTTCCCCAAAAAAAGCTTTTCATGGAAAAACTCTCAATTAAACTGTAAAGCAGTTTGTAAAGTGCTTCAGGCTTTTTTTTTTTTCCTTCCTGGTAGAGTGGGATATATATGGTTGATGGGCTATTAGACTGTAAACTCAATGCATAACTTTGACGATGTGCTAAAAATCCAGAAACCACTCAGCCCCCCTCACAATCACCTGATCAGCTCCTCTGCCAGAGCTGAACCCACCATTGTTTTATCTTCAGTTAACAAACATTGTCCAGTGTTTAAAGAGAAAGAACCAAAAATGACAGAATGACCCCTCTGTTTCAAAAGACATGTCTGCAGCTGAAGGTACAATGTTGAGGTCTTCCATAGATGTTGAGCCCTTGGAGGGTGGTGCATGACTTTAGACGGTGTGGTCTTTAAGTTCAACCTAAAGCAGGTATCTCCAGATAAAACAAAATTATATTTTCAGTGGGGCTACTCGTGCACTACAAGGGTCCACCACTGCTTTTTGTCTAGGGGACCTATGTAAAGCAGCCTCATCCTGCTGGCTCCCAGACCAGCATCCATAGCCTCTTCCCTCCTCTGTTTCAGCAGTCA